AAAAAAAAAAAAAGGAATCATGTTGGTGGTAGGTAAGGGCAAGGCCATGGAGGGCATTAAGAGGTGCTTACAAATCAGTGTCCTGCCCTGTAAAAGGAATGGCAACAGGAGAGGAGAGCTGGGCACTCAGGCTGAAGATGCCAGGAGCCCCTACCCACCCCACTTCTTAGGGCTCTAGTGGGTGGTCCTCGTTTCTATTTAGACAGGGGTTGGATTTCATAAATTCCCACCACCAATTGTTTTAGCCTTCTAGATTATAACGATAAAGATACAGATGCAAAAGAACGTCCGAGCAAAGTAAGCACTACCTGAAACCCAGATTGGGCGTACATGCATATGTATGAACACTGGAGCTGGGACAAATGACGAGCCCAGGAGACACAGAACAGGCCTTACTCAGTAGACAAGGGGCATCCCAAGGTCCCCCAGGTATTTCCTGCAAGAGTGGGTACACTGGGCCAAGCTGGCCTGGAGGACTAACTCTAATCAGTCCTCATTCATTCAACCATTACTATATCACTGCTGAAGGAGCTCTGGAGGCACCATGGTTTAAGCACTGGACTGCTCACCAAAAGGCGGCTCGAACTCACCAGCCACTCCATAGGAGAAGGATGAGGCAGTCTGATTCTGCAAAGATTTACAGCCTTGAAAATCCTTTGGCAGCAGTTCTGCTCTGTCTTATAAGGGTTGCTGTGAGTAGAAATGCAGTCAGTGGCAGTGGGTATGGTTTCGTGGGTACCACTGTTTGCACTTTGGAAGAAAACTTGTCAAGCTGAGGTATTAGGCTGTCATGGTACTTCCTTACCCTTAGACAAAAAGCAGAACAGAGGCAGGTGGCTTTGGTCATTACTGCCCTCTCCCAGCCTCTCCAGGTTGAAACACATGCCCAGGGTTGCTAGGAGGCATGATTCTACAGCAGCAGACTGAAGGGTGATCTCACCTCCCAGGGAATATATGGCCATGTCTGGAGACATTTCTGGTTGTCAGAAATGGGTGGCGGGGATACTACTGGCATCTAACGGGCAGAGGCCAAGGGATGCTGCTAAACATGCTACAATGCACAGGGCATGCCCCACAACAAAGAATACCCATGCCAGACAAGGTTGTAGTCACTTCTTGGTCACAGCTAGCTACCCAGAGGGACCAAGTAGTTGAATCTGTGGGCTCAGGACCATAGTCAGAGGGGACATCAAGCTTAAATGGCTTAACATACTATATAAAACGTTCCACCTCCTACTTTGGCAAGTAGCGACTGGCATCTTAAAAGCTTGCAAGCAACAGGGAGATAGCTCAGGGTGCAGAAGAGTATGAAGGGATGGGCACTGGGAGGAGGTAAGTATGGGGAGGAAGTGGGAGGGGAGCTGCTGCATTGTAAATTTTGGTCAATGACATGAGACAAAGTATATGTG